TAAAATTAAAAAGATTTATAAAGTAATTAAGTTTAAAATTTTAAATATTTAATTTAAAATCAACGAATAAAATTAGAATTAACTTAACAAACAAAAGGGATTTAGGTATGGTTATTGCCACACACACAAAAGTATTGAGATTACACAAAATATGATTTTGTAAATATTAGCATTTAGATTTTTTAGTTTTTAAACTAATTTTAATTAATTAATTAATATATCAATTATTTTTTCAATCTTTAGTCAATAATTCTATTTATTAACTTTTTTTAAAAAAAGTATAACTATTTTAAATTTACTTAACAATTGCAAGTGGTCCTGCTGCGTCATTGGACATGGCGAATGGCTTCTTCAGAGGGTGCAGTTTCCAATGAATTAATTTTTGATTTAATTTATACTCTATGGTATTTTATTTAATTAATTTAAATTATTTTTAATTATAAAATAAAAAAAATCAGAAATCCTCGCATTAGACAGTTAATATTATATAATCAGATTGTAAATTATTTTTTCATAGACTTTATATCAAAAAGACTAAAAACATGTTAAATATGAGAATGCAATTTAGTTGTTGTAAAATTAAAAAAAAAAATTAGAAGAAGAAGAAAAAGTTAAAGAGATATAATAAGGTAATACAATGATATATAATCTTTTTATTGTTAGTTTCTTTTTTCTTGCATTTATAAGAATGCAAACCCTATGTATAAGAGTTAAAACTTAGGTGGTAAGAATTATAAGGATTAAACATCTATTAAATGAAAGGTTATAAAAATTAATCACTTATTATTAGAGGAGTTATAAAGTAAATCTTTATTATCATTTTAATTGTATCATAAAGTAGTATATTAATTACCCTTAATAAGAGTTAACCACCATTAAATAACTAGAAAGTTAAGGAATTATTAACCATTATATTGAGCATATAAATGCATAAGTAAAAAGGTAAAAGGTGAGAAAAGTAAAATACAGATAATGAATTAATTTATAATATTAATTAAATTCTTAAGCAAATTTATTATATGTTTTT